GAAAGAGCCTGTTGGAGGAATGCATGATGAATGGAAGAATGAGAAACTCATTTGGGATAGAGCCTGCCTCCCCTCCTCCTCCACGGCGGTCCATCTTCTCCTCCTGTTTCCCTCCAATCCATCTTCCACCCTTCAGCAAAAGTCATCCATTTGAAATCTCAATTAGATCTGCTCAGTCCCCTGCTTCCAACCCTCTACCTAGAACTTAAAATATGATCAAACCCTTTGCCTTGATCCACAAGGCTTGTGTGATATGCTCCCCAACTAGCTCAGGGGCCCCCTCCTGTCCTCATTATCAAATCTTTTGCCCATTCCCTGGTCAAGCCCAGTTCATTCCTGCCGTGGGACCTTGGCACTTGCTGTCCCATTAGCCCAAAGCACTCCACCTCCAGGTTCTTGAATGAAAAGAGTTTCTTGTTATACAGACCTTGGATCAAACGATGCCTGCTCAGAGAGATCTTTCCTGCACACAAAGTCTAGGAAGCTGTCCCTCCATCCTCATCATAGCACTTAGCACTTAAGAAATACTTTGATCATTTATTTGGACTCATGATTATTGTCAGCATTGTGCTCTTTTTCTATCTTGTTCGCAGCTGAAGATTTTATTTTGAGACAGGATCTCACTAAGTTGCGTAGGCTCTCAACTAAGTTGCTGAGGCTGGCTTTGAACTCGAGATCCTCCTGCCTTAGCCTTCTAAGCCACTGGGATTATAGGCGTGCGCCACTGCACCTGGCAATAAATTTGTTTTGAATGAATGCATAAATGCAACCTCGGCATCCTAGGGCTCTGGGCAATGTCAAGTGCATTCACCAGGGCTTATGCATCAGAGGAAGCAGATGGATGTTCCAAATAGATGGGCCAGGGAGGAGGAAATGTGAATGATTATAGGGAGCATTTGTACAACTACACTTACTATATGCCAGACATTTTTCCACTATATGTCTGACATATAGTTAAGCTTAGTTTTTTTCATTAAATTTATTCTATTTTGCACTGTCAGAGCTCCTCTTAGAGATTGGTCAAATTATTACTCCTACTTTGTAGATAAGTGACTGAAAAGTGAGGGGAAATGCTTTAGGCCATTTTCTGTTGCTTTAACAAAATACTGCAACCATGTCATTTATAAAGAATAGAAGTTTATTTGTCCTCAGTACTGAGCCTCACACTTCTGTCTACTTTATCTGCAAGTGGTGTGTAGTCCAGGTGTGTACATTTGCTACTTGGGCGGGGGTGGGGGGGTGGCACTGCTTCCCACCCCCTGCACTGCTGGGTCAGCCTCCACTAGCCTCCAGCCTGGGTCTCACACCGCTTAGCACCACCCTTCACGATGTTGCCAGATCCCACGTGACAGCAAAAGGAAAGGTCAGCCACCTCATCAGTGTTCAGGCCTGGTTCACCCCAGCACTGCATTTCATCAGTTCTAAAAAGCAAAGAATAATCGTATCTATTCTCTCCGTCCATTCAGGCCTCTGTATCAAAACGCCTTAGGCCGGGAAGCCTATAAACAATAGAAATTTATTTTGCACAGTTCACAAATGGCAGTTATAAAGGGTAGGCAAGAAGCCCAGGAAACCCAAGATCGGGGCAGAGTCCATGTCTTCCTACTGTGTCTGTAAAGTTACTGATCCCAATCCTAAGGGCTGTGCCCTCTGGACCTCTTCAACTCCCAAATGCCTCACCTCCTGATACCATCACCTTGGGTCAGGATTTAAACATATGGATTTTAGGGAGACACAAATGCTCAGATCATAGCATCTAGCTTAGAGGGTCCACTGACTTACAAATACCTTTGAGCATGTGGCATAAGGCCTAAAACTAAAGTCTGGTATTATGTTTTCCCTCAACATCAGGGGGACCAGGAGAGCCTCAGGGGTGCATAACCATGAGTTATCCTGCCCGATCTGCTCTGGAGGCTAAGTCGTCCCAGCCAAATAGCCCTCCTTTCCAAAGGGGCCAGGTACAGCTCCTGCTCAGCCCTCTGCAGCTGTTTTCTGCTTAGTGTCGTCCGCAGAACTGTTGAAACAAGCCCATCACACCCTCCTGTGGGGACTAGAGCCCCCCCCGCCCCCCCCCCACACACACACACACTGTTGATGCTACACAGCCGCCTCCTGGAGCTCTGCGGCTTAGATGTTCTCAAATGCAGGTGCTCCCATGTGGCCCCCATAACTGGTGGTGGTGTCTCCCAGGACTGCGTGTGACATGGACAAACTGCCATCAGTCCTATTGGTCCAGTGTTAGGGGCCAACTTCAGCCATCCTTAGAACCCTGGGCAGGAATCCCAGTGTTCCTCGTGATGTGAACAGGATGCCCAGGACACAGCCTAGCGGTGTGCTCCATCAACAGGGGCTGTTATTATCCCTCAATTACATTTACAAGAAGAAAAGTCACCTGCAGCTTTGCATTTTAGAAAGCTTTTAAATGCATTATTACATTCAAACAAGTCCACAGCTCAAGGAAACGTGTGTTTACCAACTCCATTTTATACATAAGGAAAAGGAGGCTCAGAGAGGAAGATTTTCACAATTAGGGTCATGTCAGTATCATTTGGCATCCTGAGGATGCCAAGGAAATACATCATCTCCCATTCTCTCCAGAGTGCTGCAAGGCACCTGCGGTTGCGACCGCTCAGCTGCTGAGGAAATGGCAGTTTGTGGAGCTTAAAGAACCCGAAGTCACAAAAACTTAAATTGATAGAGCCGAAGACTTGCACTGGGTCCTGCCTGGACCTAGAGTCCAGCTCTCTCACTGTGAAGTGGCACACAGACTTCAGATCATCAAGTTTACAGATGGGACCTTGGAGATCCTTGTGGAATCTTCCCACATGGGGTATTGCACCTTCACTCAGGTGGCCTTGATCCACTTGCTCCAGTGAATCTCACACTTTCCAGTCCTGGGGAGGTGGTCCCTATGTTAGAGGACAATTACAGTAAAGTCAGAGAAAGCTCACCTTAGTGTTGGAAATAAAAACATAAAAGTAAAGCGGGCACGGTATTGCATGCCTGTAATTCCAGCAGCTCAGGAGGCTGAAGCAAGAGGACAGCAAGTTCAAAGCCAGCCTCAGCAACTTAGTGAGACCCTAAGAAACTGAGCGAGACCCTGTTTATAAATAAAACATGAAAAAGGGGGTGGGGAGTAGCTCAGTGGTTAAGCACCCCTGGTACCAAAAAAAAGAATTAAAAACATAAAAGTATCCAGGCAGCCTTTGGTTATTACATTCACTCAGCAATAATTGCCTTAATTATTCAACTCATGAAATAGGAAAACCGGAGCTAAATGTTTTGATGAGAAAATACTATAGCAAGTTCTAAATGCCTGATTCATTTGAAATGTACGTTATCCAATGTTTACATGATTCGTACTGTTTCTGAATATGATAACTTTGGCCTTGATCGACTTCACATCATCACAATTTGGTTCTGACAACGTGAATATATATAAAATGAGTTCTAACTTAAATCTTCCATTTAGATCACAGAAAGACAAAAGAGAAAGTTGAGCCACCCAAACTGAAAGGAGTACATTAATAACATTTTAAAAAATGATTTTTACTCCTGTCAAGGTGATGAGGTCAGTGGACAATAAGGTATATTGAGGTACCAGAGCAATTTTAATTTAGGCAGAGCTTGAGAGAAAGGAAAGGCAGCTATAAAGGGAGGTTAGGGAAAAAAATACCTGAAATCATCATAAATTATAAATCATCATAAATTATTTTTTTGTCAGGGTCGGGGTGGTTTATTGGGGTTTAAACCCAGGAGCACTCTCTGATTTACAACCCCAGCATTTTTTTTTTTTTTTTGAGACCAGGGCTTGCTAAATTGCTGAGGCTGGCCTCTAGCTTGCAATCTGCCCACTCCTTCTTCCCAAGTGGCTGGGATTGCAGGTCTGCACCACCAGGCATGGCATTGTTCCTAAGTTCTTCAAGGCTGACTGTCAGCAACCACGACACTTGAGAATCACTGGGAGCCATGGATGCAGGGAAGGCCATCGCTTCTCGTCAGCTGCCCGCGCTGACTAGATGAGCTGGGTTCCAAAGAGCTGGCTGCAACATTAAACTAACGAGAGAAAATAACGAAGAAATCATGCAATACACGGACATGAGTTTCTCAGATCGAGGGTGGGACTGCTCTGTGACCTTAAGGGTCAGCTTCCACGCTGGACAGCACTGGAAAGAGAGCATGCACCCGGAATCTCTTTATTTTTATAGGGGGACACACACAAAGGAGCTTCCATGGAATGTTCTTCACCAAATAAGGCAAGGGATAATGTTTCAAAGGTGGAGTCGTGCTTTGTGATGTCTTGTAGTCTGCAAACTGATTGACATCTTGGCAAGTCACACCTATCTCAGGTGCTGGGTGGATCACTCAGAGCAAGAGGAAAGGTGCACTTAATCAGCATGCAACGCCAGACCTCACCTCTTTGGCTCCAATGCACGTAGTTCACACACAGCCCATGGATGACTGGCGACAGTCTCTCTTTCTCATGGACCTCTGTAGGTGTTCATGGCAAACATGGGACAGGAGAAGCCCTGGGAGTCGCTCCTCCATGGTGCAGGAGTTCTGAGCCTGCCAAGGTCTGAGGGAAGAGCATCTGGAGAGGTCTGTGCACCTCTGGGAAGTCTACAAGTGCAAAGTGGGGGTTAGCCTAGAGGACAAGTGTTAGGGTGTGGAGCTGGACTGCGCCTTAGAGTCTCCTGTGTGAAGGCTTCGTCCCCAATGCAGCAGTGTTCACCTCTGAACTAACTAACACAACAACTAACACAAGCATGGTTATTCGCCCACAGCTCAGAAGCTTCTCTGATATGGAGAAAAGCTGCCCGCAGCCAGGGGACGGCCAAGAAACCTACTTCTGCCCTCACCGTACTCTGCTTTGACCCAAATCAAAGGCCGTCAGGGGAGGGAGGGGAAACCCACTCAGATCATATGAAGTGGAGATCAGCCGCCAGAGGAGGAGGGGTTCACTTTTCTAGAAATGCCATAACAAAATCCCACAGCCTGGGTGACTTAACCACAGTGGCTTAACCTTTATTTTCTTACAGGTCTGAAAGCTGGAAGTCCAAGATCAAGATTCTATTACAGTTTCTATCCTCCAAGGCCTTGCTGCCTAGCATCCACATGGCACTGCCTGCTGCCTCTGCACATGGTGGTCCCTCTGCGTGTGTCTGTGTCCTGTCCTCTTCTCATGGGGACAACCAACTCAGCAATGAAGAAACCAGTCGACATCTCTGCTAATGCTTGGAGAACAGAAATACCCATTATTAGTTACTCTTTATCTTACTCTTCACAGGTCTTTTACCAGAATGTCTGGTGTTCAATCAAAAATAACAAGACACACAAAGAAACAACAACACAAAATATCTTCTTGTCAAGAGGTAAAATAAACCCAGAAATCAACAATTACAGCAGGATTTTAGGATCCAGAGTGTCCAAAAGTAAATTGTTTTCCTACATATCAGCAGGGAAGAATCCAAATTGGAAATTAAAAACACAATACCATTTACCTTATCACCCCCCCCAAGTGTTAGATTTAGGTATGAATTTAACAAAAGATGTACAAGATCTATATGAGGAATACTGCAAAAGTGAAATTAAAGAAATGTTTAAAAAGCCAAATAAATGAGATAGTCCATGTTCCTAGATAGGAAGACTCAATATTGTCAAGATGTCAGTTCTTCCCAACTTGATCTATAGATTCAATATAATTCCAATCAAAATTCCCAGCAAGTTTTTTTTGGGGGGGAGGGGTGGATATTGACAATTTTATACTAAAGTTTATACAGAGAGGCAAAAGAATCAGAATATCCAACACAATACTGAAGGAGAAAGAAGTGGGAGAACTAATACTATCTGACTTCAAGACTTGGAGTAAAGCTTCAGCAATCACGACAATGTGGCACTGCTAAAGGAACAGGCAAGTCAATGGAATGGACTAGAAATCACAGAAAATAGCCAGGAGCAGTGGTACCTACATATAATTCCAATGACTCAGGAGGCTGAGGCCGGAGGATTGCAAGTTCAAAGCCAGCAATTTAGTGAGGCCCTAAGCAACTTAGTGAGACCCTGTCTCCAAATAAAAGGAGTTGGGGATGGGGATGTTGTTTGGCAACACATCCCTGGGTCAAATCCATAGTACCAAAAGAAGAAGAAGAAAAAGAAGGAGACAGAGAAGGAAAAAGAAAAGAAATCACAGAAATAGAACTACATGGAGTAAATGCAGTACAATGGAAAAAAGATAGGAAAAGAAGGAACAAGACCTTACACCCTTCATCAAGAGTTAGCTCAGACTGGATCACAGGCCTAAATATAAAATGCAAAACTATAGAATGCCTAGAAAATAACATAGGCTAACATCGAAATGACCTAAAATTTGATGGTAATTTTTTAGATGCCACACAAAGGCGTAAGTCATGAAAGAAAGAACTGATGAGCTGGACTTCATTAAAATTAAATCTTCAGTTCTACAAAAGACAGTGTCAAGAAAATGAAAGGCATGGCACAAACTGGGAGAATATATCTTCAAAAGGCATATCTGATAAAGGACCATTATCCAAAGTCTATAAATGAATCAATAACAAGAAAGCAAACAACCAAATTAAAAAATGGGCCAAAGACTTTAAAAAAATTTAAAGACTTAGGCCTCACCAAAGATGACGGATAGATGTCAAATAAGCATGTGAGAAGCTGTTCAGCATCAACACACCTATTAGAATGGCCAAAATCCAAAAAGCTGACACCATCAAATGATGACAAGGATGTGGAGCAACAGGAACTCACATTCACTACTGGTAGGAAAGTAAAATGGTACAGCCATTGTAGAAGACAGGTTGGTGGTTTCTTAGCATATGATCCAGCAATTGCTCTCCTTGGTATTTACCCAAGGAGTTTAAAACTTATATCCACATAAAAACCAATACACAGATGTATACAGCAGCTTTATCTATAACTGTGAAAACTTTTCTTTTGAAAAAGGAGATTCTTTTCAATAGGTGAATGGATTAATATACTGTGATATATCCAGATGATGGAGTGTTATTTAATGCTAAAAAAAATGAGTTATCAAGCTATGTATAGATACGGAGGGAAGCTTAAGTGCATAAAACAGTGCTTTTCATCATGTTTAAATTATGCGTTGGTAATTCTTAAATTTTTTTTTTGAGGATTCTACCATTAGAAGACTCAGTTACAAAGTATACAGGATTTTTTCTATAGCATTTTGCACAGATGCATATGAATCTATAATGATCTCAATATAAAAAAATCCTTTGAAATTAATTTTTTAAATTATAGGGGACTACAATTCACAATAGTCAAGCTATGGAGCCAACATAGGTGCCCTACAACAGAAGAATGAATAAAGACAATGTGGTTTATATACACAATGGAATATTACTCAGCCATAAAGAAGAATAAAATTATGGCATTTGCTGGTCAATGGAGGGAACTGGAGACTATTGTGCTAAGTGAAATAAGTCAGTCTACAAAACCAAAGGCAGAAGGTTCTCTCTGATATGGGGATGCTAACCCACAATAACAGAGGGGAAGATCAGAAGTTCACTGGACTAGACAAAGGAGAATAAAGGAAAGGGAGTGGGGATGGCAATAGAAAAGACAGTAGAATGATTTGGACATATCTTTCCTATCCTTTTATATGAATACATGACCAACTCCACATAATGTACAATCACAATAATGGGATCCTAACAGAAACAAGTTATTCTTATTATACGTATGTATAACATGTCAAAGTACACTCTACTATCATGTATATCTACAAATAACAAATAAAAAATAATCAAATTAATCAAAAATAAAAATCAATAATCAGAGACTAAAAAAAAAAATCTACTTAAGAAATGGAGAAAGCAAAACATGCTCTTTCTTTTCATGAAAAAATAAGAAAATGACTTACACTGAAAACCAGGTCTCTGTAAGAGCACAGATGGCACCAGGGTTCATGTACCCAAGTCATATTCATGTGAGAGGGAGGTGGCTTCCCCATTCTAACATTGCTCAAGTTGCTACCAGAGAGCCACTGCCAGGATGAGTCAAAACGTCCCCCAAGGTCAGGAGGAATCCACAATCCTCAGCAACAAAACTCAGCTCTTGAGGTCTTTCCCCAAAAGCTCATGGTTGACAGTCCCTGCCAGGAGCCCAAGTCAAAGTGCAACCATTCCAAATCTCCCAGCCGTACTTTCCGCTGGTGGAGAAGGCCAGCACGGACAAGTGGTCCTGCCTGATGGAGACCAGTGGGCCACAAAAACACTTCCCAAAAAACCCACGGGGCACAGAGTGGCAGAGCTGTCCACAGCGTCGTGAAGTTCCTCTTCTGGGTTCCACACACGCCTGCAGACTTCCTCCCTGTGCCCAGCGGCCTGGGCTGCCATCCTGCCAAGGAGGCACTGCAGACCGAGCAGGGCTGGGCTCGCTGGCAGGAGGTGAAGAGCAAGCAGCCGCAGTGACCTGGATTTCAGGTGGCTAGAAAAGACCCTCCGCACACTCACCCAGAAGCCAGAACTCAATTTCACCAGAAGACGAGATCATCCAGCTTGGTTAGTGTGGAACCTTGTGAAAACCCTCTAACCTCAGTTTCCTCATCTCTGCTGGGGAAAATAGGCCTCTCGAGAGATAGTAAGAGGCAGTGAGGTCATGAAGATTCAAATGTCATCCTGCTCTTTTTCCCTATGTCCGTGTTTCTCAAGGTGTGGCACACAGACCATTAGTGGTACATCAGGGCAATTTAGATAATAGAGGACTTCTTCATTTAATACTTATGAGCTTAACTCAAAGGGTATGAGAAAAAGATAGCCAGCCCATCTATCTTGCAAATCAGGAGTTACGTTAAAATAGCAGTAAAAAAAAAATATATATATATATATATATTATACACACATGTATATGTGTATATGTGTGTGCATATATATACATATTATATATATATACACACACATATATATACATATGTGTGTATATGTACATATATGAATATATACATATATAATAACATGTGTGGGGGCTGGGGATATGGCTCAATTAGTAGCGCGTTCGCTTAACATGCATGAGGCACTGGGTTATCCTCAGCACCACATAAAAATAAAATAAAGATATTGTGTCCACCTAAAAGCTAAAAAATAAATATTTAAAAAAAATAACGTGTGTGTGTGTGTGTGTGTACACACACACACACACACACGTATGACTGAAAAAAATTCTCTTTAAGAGATGGGTAAAGGTCTGGGGTTGTAGATCAGTGGTAGAGCACTTGCCTAGCACATGTGAGGCACTGGGTTCAATCCTTAGCACCACGTAAAAATAAATAAATAAATAAAGGTATTATGTCCATTTATAAGTAAAAAAAAAAATTAAAGATGGGTAAAGCAGAAAACATTATTTCTTTTCATTAAAAAATAAAAAAGTGACACACTAAAAAATCTGTGTGTGTGTGTGTGTATCTTAGGTGAATAATTGTTAAAATGTAATGTGTAGATATGGCAGAAGTAATAAGGTATCTTAGAAGTGTATAAATATATAGGAAAAATATATGTCAGAAATAATGACAATATAAGATGCCCAAATTTGGAAGATAATGCTCCCAGCTGCAAGAACCAGACCTGTGAACCTCACCCTTGGGTCTCCCAGGAGGCTCTTCGGGTTTTTTATGGTATATAATTCAGAGCTCTCTTTGTAAGAACCAGGGACGCATTACTCCTGCTCATAGTATAATGGAGTTATTCTTCTCCTAAGGGCCTGGTTTGTTTTATCTCATGAACATTGCAAACCATGTAATTGAATAGATTTCTCTATTTACACTGACAATGAGAAAGTTGAAGCCAAACTTGGGACCAGTTGTCAAATAGGGAAAAAACTGGGTCATATTCAGAGTTTCTTAGCCTTATTCCTAACTCTATTTAATGTCCCTACCTTCTTCTTAGTTATTATCCTTTATGTTTATAATCCTTTTAAGATACCTTAAATCTTATTTGTAATAAGGCAAGATATAATGTTTTGGAATTTTCTGTTTCTTTGCTTATTTTTTCAGTTTTAGACAGTATCTTTCTTTAAACGAATTTTGTCCTTAAACTGAAGCGATCGTTCTTTCTGAATCTTTCTGGATCCCTAGTTAGTATAAATTTTAGGGTGTTCTCGTTAGAGTGGACAATTGACCATTCCATATGGTTCTGAAATTGGTTCTTGTCCAACCCATGGTCTTTCATGCTGCATCTCTAAGGTGGAAGAC